TCCCTCAATTTCTTTCATGATCAACACACCCGTACGAATGTGTGTGTGATCCAACGGTAGAAAAAACGTCAATCGGGACGGGTCGGGTTGGGTCGGTCAAACTTGCCAAAAAAAAAAATAATATGAACTCAAATTGATGTGATGACTAATTGTTTTCTTTCTCACATGCAATACGTACAGACACTAACGTATCAACAAGGTGTGTACATACATGTGGGAGGTGCATGTGTGATGTGGTGTGGGTAAGGTGTTGTGTCTGTGTTGTGGGCATCAAACAGCCATATCACATAACTACGTACACACATTTTGGCAGCCTGCAGGTGGCCATGGAAAAGGACATGTCACTAATATCGACCGGCATGACTTGCGAGGGTCTCTCTGTCTCTCTCTCATGTGTACCATCTCTTCATCTCTCATATGTCATTTTCGTACGGGCCGGGTTGGACCGAATCTAATAGGAAATAGGTGTCGACATGGTTTAGCCGGTTGTGTAGGATTGCAAACGAGTTGAGCCTGACTAGGTTGGTTAAGTAAACGAGCCAAAAATCGAAATTGAATTGGGCTCGTTTATCAATATTAACGAGTTCACTACAAAATAAATGTTATATTCCAACGGAAAATTCTATGGTAATATATTCCAATGGAAATTTCAACGGATATTCCAATGGAATAGCTTCCGTTGGAATAATTCCAACAGAAATTCTAACGGAAATATTCCGTTGGAATGTGTTTTTCATTGGAATTTTAGATGGAATTTGATGATTCCAACGGCTATATTTCCAACGGCTTTTTACCGTAGGAATTTCCGTTGGAATATGTAAATTCCGTTGGAATTTTTTTTTCCAACCCCGTTGGAAAATCCACCGTTGGAATCGTCAAAATCCAACGGAAATTCCAATGGAAAACTCATTCCAAGGGAATATTTTCGTTGCAATTTCCGTTGGAATCCATTGAAAAATTCCAACGGAAATAATAGTATTGAAATATCCGTTGGAATTGCCGTCGGAATAATTCTTTTGAAATATATTTCCGTTGGAATTTCATCATTTTCTTGTAGTGGTTGATCTCGAGATTTAACAAGTCGAAATATAGAAAAGTACAGTGTTTTACATATAATACAAGTAATCATAAAGAACGAGTCACCGATACGGCGATTCAACTGGTTTTAACGTCTATTTACTGGTTTCATTAAATATTATAAATTTGTTATTATAATATAAATAATGTATGAAACTAACTTTAATTAATTCTAAAATTAATTAAAATCTAATAACAATGTAAATATTTTAAAATTAAGTGTAGAGCTTTCAATTTATATAAATAAATTAATAAAAATATATTAAAAAATATTTTTTTTAGAAAAATCGGTATAAACTGGTATTTTGGTCGATACTTTCGAGTAAAATTAGTATTTTTCGATGTGTAACCGAAAATGATATTTAGAAGGTAACCGTATGGTCGGATCATCGGTAACAAGTATTATTGGTATTACCAGCTGGTACAATACGATATTTAAAATATTGAAAAATTATATAATTTTTTTTTCCTTTCGAGCCTTATCGATCTGAGCCATGGGGGGTTGAGTTGCGTCGGTTGAAAACCTTTGCATCCATCTTTTGCCATGCCCAGTCCTCCGACCGAACTAACTAGCACATGGATGATTGTCAAATCAACATTATTGAATTGAGTCAGGTTGGGTCGGGTAATTTTTTTTTTTTCTCGTCCATCTTTTATAAGGTTCAAATTTTCGATCGAGGACTGACGAAAATATTTTTGTTGGTAATTTTTATTGGCATTTCGATCGACAATCTCTTGTAGTGGTTCCAGGTTCCACCTATCTAGCTTAAGGTCCAAAACCTTCGAGTGAATTATCTCGTGAATGAGTGTCAAATCAATTTAAGCAAACGTTAATTTTGTAACTTAAACAAGTTTCAATATAGCAATACTTAGAATTTTTTCTATAGCGAAGAGAGAAAAAA